ATTTATTTATTTGTTTGTTCATTTGTTTTGTTTATACATGCACTGGGTACAGTCAGAAGCGCGGGAGGGTGAGAGAATTCACCAGAGCCAGAGCGGGGAGCAGAACAGGCAGAAGGACCGAAGTACACTGCTGAGGGGAGCAGCGGGTGGCAGGAGAGGTCTGCGCACCATGTGGGACCCTCCTCCGGTGGCCGGGGAGCAGCCGGGAATCGAACCGGCGCCGCAGAGGCTGCGGGCAGCTTCGCAACCCAGCGCTCTACCGCTGCGCCACCGGGGAGGCCCACTTTATTGTATTTTTAAAGAAACCAATGGCTTCAGTTTTCTCAAGGACAGTCAAACACATTAAATGGCATACAGTGAGTCTGGAAGAAGAGAAATTTTACCTCATATCTACTCTTTCACCAAAGACTAACATTATTTTCCCTTTAAAACACTCATTTAATAGATAGTATTACCAATCCCAAGAATCCCATGCATTAGCTAAAAGAACTGTGATGACTCTACACAGTAAACAGTCTTAGCTAAGTAATTAAAGAACCACCTGAGTCCCCTGCTGCGAACAACCATGTAGAATATTGCATTTTCCAGCCAAGATGTTACCTTCATGAAAATATTGACTAAAACTAAGAAGTTTGCTAAATTTTCGCACCTGCTTGTGAATTTAAATACATTTCTATAGATGACTGGATCAAGAAGATGCAGTATATACACACAATGGAATACTAGTCAGCAATCAAAAAAGATAAACTCATGCCATTCGCAGCAACATGGATAGAGCTAGAAGGAATTATGCTCAGTGAAATAAGCCAGAAAGAAAAAGAAAAATATCAGATGAAACCATCTTATAGGAGGAATATAAGGGAACCAAATAAGACATCAGGGGGGAAATGATAACAATACAAAACAAAACAAAAACAGACAATTATAAATCAGGGGAGGGGGAGGGAGAGGGATTGGAAGGAGGGAGGGAGGGAGGAACACAGGGGACTGTGGTGATGGTGCACCTTTGTTTAAAAAGGAACAATGATATAAAATATATATAAATAAATTTTTAAAAATAATCAATTTTAAATAATAAATTTAAAAATTTTTAAATAAATTAAAAAATTTCTATTCCTTACAGATAATAAAGATTGGAAAATGAAAACATGATCATAGTTGAAAAGGCAAGCAGAAACATGAATAATGTGCTAATAGTAACTTATGTGTCATGATATCTAATGTCAAACTACTTTGTTTTATTACATAGAATATTCACACAGTTTTCATAGCTATTTTTGATAATTTTCACATTATCTTCAAGTCACATTTAACTGTGAATATTACTAAAAAGAAAAGCATAACTAAACTATTTCCTAGTCTCAAGTATTTCAAGAAGAGTAAACACTACAGAAAAACATGGCTAATTTCCATAAAAATTTAGTTTGAGTGTTATTTATCAATGTTTAGAAGAACAATTCACAATACTACTGGAATGTACTTGCAAATTCCACTGAGGTAGGGTCAGGAGACAGCCTCATTAAGTGAAGTTTAAACTTTAGTTCAGGGGCCTGCCCAGTGGCACAGTGGTTGAGCGCTGGGTTGCGAAGCTGCCGGTGGCCTCTGCGGCGCCGGTTCGATCCCCGGCTGCTCCCCGGCCACTGGAGGAGGGTCCCACATGGCGCGCAGACCTCTCCTGCCACCCGCTGCTCCCCTCAGCAGTGTACTTCGGTCCTTCTGCCTGCTCTGCTCCCCGCTCTGGCTCTGGTGAATTCTCTCACCCTCCCATGCTTCTGACTGTACCCAGTGCATGTATAAACAAAACAAACAAACAAATAAATAAATAAAACATGCCTCTATAAAAAAAATAAATAAAGTCTTTAAACTTTAGTTCAGGACCAAAACATATATACAAGATTTCTAAATTTACATGACAATTGTCCTCACTTTAGAGAAATCATTCAGCTACCTTAAATTCTTTCAAAACCAAAGTATTAAAAAATAAATCTCATTAAATCAGAAGAAAAGCAAAATGCAACACTGCCAAGGAAAATGTCATTGAAAACATCTTAAAAATTAAGAATTATGAAAGGAAAAGTTAACATTTTCTTTCAAACTTTCATGCCCAATTAGATATACCTGCCCTGATGAAAGAAACTGATAACTAGTAAACACCAAATAATATCCTAATTTATAGCTGCAAATTTCCACTATATCAAGTTAATTATGCCATTTCCCTTAATTAAAAAGTTATTTTTCTTGGATGCTGAAGTGGGTAGAAGAGGGGAGAAAATAATATTTACTTGGTGAAAATAATATTTACTCCTTAGGTATTGGTATTTTCCAGAGGTTTTTGCATTTGAGTTAAGAATGAAAACATATAACACTAGTTCATAAATTTCATCTTTTTGTTTCTCAAGTAACTCAAAATTTATACCTTCAATAAATCATAAATATTTCCTTTAAGCTTTACAGAAATGTTTAAGACTGTAACAGAACTTTAACTTCTACTAAAAAGTGATAGCAAATATTTTAAAAATATTATCATACACAGTAAGATGGTAAGAAAATTTTTAATATGAATTCAACTCAGAATATAAAAAGTTGCAGATTGGGGCCTCCCTGATGACGCAAAGGGTTAAGACGCAACCTATGAAGCTCTCCGCAGCCACTGCAGCACTAGTTAGATCCCTGGTCAGGGAGCAACCCACATAGCGCAGCAGACCTCTCCTGACTTGCCCACTACTCCCCTCAGTGTGTATTCAATCTGCCTGTTCTGTTCCCTGCTCTGTCTCTGGTGAAACCTCTCACCCCCCACACCTCTGGCCTGTATCCCAGTTCTTGTATGCATAAATAAATAAAAAGTTTCGGGGGAATATAAGCAAAATGAAAATGCATACATTGTGCAAAGATGAAAAAAGATGTAAGAATTATATAAAATAAAATATTTAAATAAAAATAAATAAAATAAAAGCTGCAACCTAAAAAAAAAAAAAATTTCAATTGTATAGATTTTTCCAAACTAATTTAAATAACTTAGAACATGGAGACTATTTTGGGTGGCATTCCAAAAAAATCCTCCCTATACATACCAGCAACAATCTTAAAAACCCAGGAATTAAAACAGAGTTGCAAAAGGAAAATGAGTGCATCTTGCTAGTTGAAAGGATTTAAGAACTTTTTAATAGCACTGTTTCAGGGGTTTGTTCAAATCTCACCTTCCCAGAGAGACCTATTCTGAACCATACTATTCAACAACACAATTATTTCTGCAAACCTGATCTTTCTTAACCTTGTTCCACATTTGGAGGGCACCAACCCCCCTCCCCATCCCCAAATCACAACTTTATATATGGTGTGTTGGTTTATCATTATTCCTTGCTAGAATATAAACTTCATGGGGGCAGGGGTCTTACTGTTAATCCATTTAGTTGTCATATTCAAGCATTTAAATAGTGCCTGTTGGGCCTCCCTAGTGGCGAAGGAGTTAAAGACTCAGCACTATTGCCAGCCACTGTGCAGCCAGGGAGCTGACTCACATGGCATAGTAGACCTCTCCTGTCTTGCCTGCTGCTCCCCTCAGCAGTGTATCTCAGTAGATGCGTCTGTTCTGCTCCCCACTCTGACTCTGGTGAATCCTCTCACCCCCTGCACCTCTGGCCTATGCCACAGTTCTTGTATGCATAAATAAAAATAAATCTTAAAAAAAAAAATAGTGCCTGTCACATCAGTTGCTCAATAACTATTAACTTGCAATTTAGTCTCTTATTGCATCATGTTGTTTAAAGATGTCATTTTTCATTTTGCTTTATTCTAAACTCCTTCTTTGTTGTTCAAGAAACCCATGGTTCCTCCAAATCACTGAATATAATTATGCTATAACAAACGCCCTAGAATGTAAATTAAGTTTCTTTCTTGCATATGTAAATGTCTACATATTTAGTGCAGGGAAAGAATTTGAGGGGGTCTCCCTGGTCGCGCAGCTGGTAGAGTACCACACTGTGAAGCTGTTCCGCAGCATCTGCAGCGCTGGTTTGATTCCTGGCCGACCAGGGAAATGACTACATGGTGAGCAGACCTCTCCTGTCTCTCCTGCTGCTCCCCTCAGCAGTGCTTTGGGTGCGTCTGCTTGTTCTGCTCCCCACTCTCTCTCTCGAGAATCCTCTCACCCTCCCGCACCTCTGGCCTATACCCTAGCTCTTGTATAAATAAATCAATCTTTAAAAAGAAAAAAAAAAGAGGGCCTTCCTGCTGGCGCAGCGGTTGAGCGCTAGGTGGCAAAGCTGCCCGCCGCTTCTGCAGCGCCGGTTCGATCCCCGGCTGCTCCCCGGCCACCGGAGGAGGGTCCCACATGGCCCGCAGACCCCTCCTGCCTCCCGCTGCTCCCCTCAGCAGTGTACTTGGGTCCTTCTGCCTGCTCTGCTCCCCGCTCTGGCTCTGGTGAATTCTCTCGCCCTCCCGCGCTTCTGACTGTACCCAGTGCTTGTATGTATGTATGTATGTATGAATAAATAAATAAATCTTTAAAAAAATTAAAAAAAAAAGAATTTGAGGGAGTCTCCATATGATCGCTCAAGACCCAGACTGACAGAACTTCACAATCTGGAACATGTCAAGTCCTCCGTCACTGCGGTAGAGGAAGAGAAGCTGAAGAATTTTACAAGGGATTTATTTTTAATGCCTTTCTTTGGAAATGTTACCTAATCTTCACTATTTCATTGGAATATACTGGTAACAATGGCCCCATCTAACTTCAAGTGGGTAGAAGTTTAGAAGAAAACATGAAATGTTTTGTGATTACTGTCTCACATGTACCTTTCATAGCACATTATAATAATTTATAGCATTTCCTCTATTAAAGAAGAGATTTCTTAAGGTAAGATAGGGTGTGTGTTTTGATCACTAGTGTATTCCAAAAATCTGTTACAGATAGCAGGAACTTATATTTGTTGAATAAAAGGTTTAAAACCAAAAACTCAAAATTAAAATTTTTAATTTTTAAAGGAAAAAATACTCTCCATAGGAAAGCATTTCTATTTTTAAGTCCATCAGTAGCCAAATAGTACTTAACACAAACACTTCCAATATGCCAACTTTGGTTAAATGCACAACTTTGAAAAGAACTCACAAATGCACAAATCAATATGCTACTAACAAATTCATTAATATCCAAGATTCATTATTGTATGTTAAAGGTCATTCAGGATTAACATTATTTTCATTACAATGAACTGTGACATTCCAGTGAGAAGAGAGAAAACTGTTCACCTGAATCAAACTATTTAATTGCTAATGTTGGAGTCCAGCACTCTCAAAAATCTAATTCACACACACACACATGCACATTCATGCACACCTGTGCACATGCGTGCACACACCAACACACTTAAAAACTGCCCACTAGGGCATTAAAACAATTTAAAAAAATAGAACTTTAAAGAGCATTTGTAAATGTGGGTTATCATTTGGACAACTGTATAGTAGGCAGAAATTCCTAACGGTGCACATAAAAGCCAATAAATGATATGATACAAAAAGCCACATGTAAACATTTTAAGAATTTCACTGCAGTAAATAGATTTGACAAATTGAAGCACTAGAGTCATGACATGTTCTAGTACATACAAATAAAATCTCTAACCATTTAATGACAGGTGGGAATCTATACACATCAAAGATGTTATGAATTATTTTTCATCAAAAAATGAAAAATGTAAATCCTTATTAAACAATTCATTTAAAAATATGCTTTATTTTAAAATGTGATAATGCTCTAAGATGGCAGTTGATTTTATTCATATATGTAAAAATATTAAAATAGCAATATATTGGTTTATAAGTTATATAGTGCTCTCCAGCTAAATTTCCAATAAAATTCTCAAATGCTCAAAAAGAATTTTGCATGTTATTAGACCCCCCCCATTATACTAAACATGTTAAGTTCCATAGCTAAAGGAAGTAAACCATTTGTGAAATATTGTTTTTTAAGTGATGGAAGTCCATGAGCACATAAAAACAACCAGGTGATAAACCAGCCATAGCTCTTCTTTCTTCTTTTTCTTTGCAGGAATTAAAAGTAATTCATTTTAACTTGAGCAACTGTGTGGGAACTATAAGAACTGCAAAGCTCATCTTTTCTTTCCAACCTATAAGGGAAATAAAAGGTGATGAAGTTAACTACTAAAACATGCTTTACACATTCTCTTTAACCTAGTAACACATATTTCCAAATGCAAATGTTTAAAATGGTTTTTGAAATATCTACAATATTAAGCTTGTCTGTGCTAAATAAATATAACTATTTAGACATATATTATTCTGATGCCAGCAATATTTAAACATTCCCCATTAACCCACTAAAGTGAAAAGGGGTCTCTAATTGCATATAACCTTCATTTGTAGTATTAGAATCAAATCAGTCCACTCTGATTTAACATACTACGAATCCATGACAAAAGCTCAATCGTTTTGAGTACACACAAGTTTTAAATATTTACAGAAAAAAAACTATTGTATAGTAACTAAAGTATTAATAAAGGCTATCTCCCCAGGTGGTGGGATTAAAAGTGATTTTGTTGTCTTGGGTATTCTCAAAATAGCTAATTTAAGAACTAAAGATATTACTACCAACGAAAATTTGTTCTTTCTTGTCTTCACATTATAAACTTCTATTTAATTTTTTTTCATTTTAAGTTTTTAATGAAAGTTGTATATAAGACTTTTTTATTCCTGCATCTTCTCAATTGTTTCTTCCCTGTATTTGCCCTTTTCCTTTCCTACTTGGCGAGATTTGGTTTTGCGTTCTAGGACCTTTTTGCCGTCTTTGTCCAGCTTTAGTCTAGTGATAACCACATTACTGGGGTGAATGCCCACATGAACGGTTGCGCCATTTGCCTTCTCCCGCTGCACTCTTTCAATGTAGATGACATATTTCTTCCTGTAAACCTGGACTACTTTGCCAATTTGCTGTCCTTTATAATGTCCCCGAACAACCTGAACTTCATCATCCTTCCGGATGGGTATGGATCGGACATTGTACTTCTGCCTCAGCTCTTTGGAAAGAGGGGAAGACATGATCTTCCTACGAATGTGGGATGGCGCATTGAAATGGCTTTTACTATTCTTGCTCCGGTCAGAAGTCACAAAAGGATTGAACTTCATTTTGGCCGCCGGTGCTTCAGCGATGGCCGCAAAAGGGAAAAGCTCACATTATAAACTTTTAAAGCTGTCAACCAATATGTATGTCAGAGTAGCTATTTACATTGACATACCTGTAAGGAAAATCTTTCTAAAGATGGAAAAATAGCATAATCATGGTCATAAAAGAATAGATTTGCTCTAAAATTTAAAACCGCTGATAAGCAACTCAACCATTAGGTTTCCTACAGCTATGTAATTCTATAGGAAAATCAGCCCCTGCCATGTCATCTTTTAAAATATTCTTTCCTGTTATATTGCTTGTTTGTATTTTATGGACTCTTCTTATACCAGTTAGGTAAGATTAAATACTTATTGCTTCCATTCACAAACCTCGTAGCAGTGGCACTGCTAATCAAGTCATGCCATCTAAGTTTTAGACATGTGACTAATTATCTGGCAAGAATAAAAAAAAAGTTCACAAATAAACTAAACTTAAGGGTCTTGATTTTTTTGTGAGCCTTTGGAAGCCTGCATGTTAAACACTGGTGATTTTTAAAATTCTCAATGGAAATGGTGATGGCATTCACTCAACCAAGTAGTTTAAATTAGTGTAATGAGCACAATAAGGGAAAAAATGCCAGCAACTGCTATTTTTGCCATCTGACTTATTCTTACAAATCAGAATTTGACTTCAGTAGTTTTCAACTATACTTATCGATATTCCTAAAAGGTATATACTTTCCATACGTCTGTTATACATTAATGACATTTACTTTCAGTAAGTCACATGTAATATTAACTTGAAAAATGTAAACTTGAAATAACAAATTCCACCAAGTGTTATTTTCAAAACATTTGTACAAGCTATACTTTCACTAATTACCTTATTATGCTTTGTTGAAAGGATATGCCTTAGTATTTAAGCTTTAAAGAATATTAGAAACAAAATTAAACTCAAATACACAAAGTCCCTCAGACTAGAGTATCAATTTTATATGGCACAAGTCACAATGAATAGATGAGGCTTCACATATGTTGGCTGCAGAATATAGAATAAAGAATGGAAAAGCCACAAAATTGAAATCTGAAATATCAAAAGTCATTCTGGGGAACTATTTTTAGACATCTTGCTTAATTTAAAAAATATGTACAACTTTTCAAGAATCATGAACTTTTTTCAGAATTAGAATTTTATTTTATGTGCTTGAGACAATTTTTAAGTGTTGACTAAGGCCCTAAAAAATGCCTCTTAAACATGAGTAGTGACTGATACCACGCTGACATACCCCATTTTTATAATCATATGCTTTGCAAGACAGAAAAAAAGATAAACCTTACAGCAAACTCTTAATCACATTTGGTTGTCCATTATTTAAAATTCCAATTAATTTCAACAATTTAAATGATATTCTCATTTAATAAAACACCCACACAAGGACAAGAATGAGACTTTAATCAGTTTTAAGTGGAGTTTATAACACTAAGAGATAAAGGGTTGTTAACAAACACAATAACATATGGACATCTGATTGGTATGAGGCATTATCCTGTACACATATTTTTTTTTGTGTGTATCCTCAGTGCATAGCATTTACACACAGAGCCACTGCTGCACAGCACAAGAGTATCTGAAGAGGCTGAATCAGAGTAAGGCTGTTTAACAGACTGAAATTTTTAGTATATATAGTCTATATGAAAACAGATTGAACTTTTGAACTGGCAGGGTAGAAGGCAACTCTGCCAAACACTGCAGTGAAAGCCCCCACTTTAGTGCACAGTTCCACCCCTTCCATCTGCATGCATGACACATTAACAGTATTTAAAGGTAAACGAGGCACTTTGTGGCAACCACAGCCATCGTTATGAACATATTGCACAAATTTCCTAGAACTAAACATGTAACTGGTACCCTACTTTTATTTTTTAAAGCTGAAACATTTGATGCTGCCGGTAAACTCCACTTAAGTTTATAACCTGTGCCACAGCAAAGAATGGTGATGCTATTTATTCAACTACCCTTTAATAATTATGGCAAAAAACGTTCAAGAGGAGCTACAGAGGACTTGAGATGGAACAGGGCCCAATTGTAAGCTTTCTTAAAAGTGATGCCTTCAAGTAACTTCGGACATGTAAGCGGCTGCACATCCAAAAAGTCTAAGAAAACATTCCAGAAACTCAAAGAGATTACCTACAGAATGCATTTCAGGCTAATTATGAATACTGTCATAAATAAAGTTTTACTTAGGACTCGAAAACCTTTCAGTCATAGCAATTCTTGTCAAATTCTATGGGGATGGTAACTGAAATAAAGGAGTAGTAGTATGTATAATATATATTTATATATATATAATATATATAATGCCATTTTTCCATTTCCAATGACTACACCATAAAATGTAAGCAAGGCTTCTCAAAAACATTGAAACATTCAAAATCAAAACCCTCATTCAGACCTTCACATTCCAAAGGAAAAACAACAGTGCAAAAGCCCATTATAATGTCATTATTTATGACCTGGCCCTCCATGTTACATACTAGAATACAAGGTGGTGGTTGTTTTTTTAATATACTGTGCCCAAAACTATAACAAATAACAGTATTAATAACTAAAATATCCTCAAAACTGATTCTCATTTTAGTCAAAAATTTTCAGGTTTTATGAAAGATGGTGGCATATAAATTTCAATGGTGATATCTTAGGAATAGTTGTCTAACTTTACCAATTTAACTTATGAGCAGTCAATTTTCGATATATCAATGTTTATAAATGTGTAAATCCTAAGAGCTTTGTTAAAATTTTAAAAACTTTGTTAAATGAAACTGACGAGGTATGGAAAAAACATGTCAACATTATTTACTAAGAATATTTTAGATGTAGTTCTGCCTATTTACCATCAAACGCTATAAATGCTGCTCTAGTAGGTACTATGCAATCTGTATTTGTAAATTAACTAGGTCAGACCACAGCAAGTGAACAATTTCAGCACCAATAAGTTATCGAAAATGAGATTTTTACACCATTAAGAAAGAAATTGGTTAGATATTCAAATGTTTCAAGGTCAAGATATAATTTGAAAGACACCAAATTTCTGGGAAAAATTATTTTTAATAATATCTTCACATTAGTTTTACAATAGTTGTACTCTGCTAAAAATTGTATGCAGTCTGGGCATATCAAATATATATTTAAGAAATGAAACTGAAGCCCTAGCCCTAACTCTAGCACTATGAAGAAATGGTTCAACACTGCACATTTAAAAAAAAAAAAAAAACAAAAAACTTTTTCAATAGCAAATTAATAAAGCATTATGTGGGACAATTTCTACTGGAAATGTAAATGCCTTATTATTTGTGCAGCGCTGAAAATTTACTGCAACTCTAATTTCCTTTTAACACAAATAATGTCCTTTTAAATATAAACATTATATGTATTTAGTATTCAAGTAAAATTCCCTAACAGTTAATGACATTTAAAAAATGTGCAAAACTGCAAAACTCATTGTAATAGAATGTGTAAGGTCAAAAGGGTGGAACGGCTGACAGCTATTGGATTGAATAAGTGCATCGTAAATCTTCAAAGAAAAAAAAAACGCTTACTGTAGAATCTCAAATTGAAATTTCCTGTGCAGCATTACAAAATATTTTATATTTAATGAGAAAAAAGAAGCTTGCAGGCAGCACATGAAGCATCCACAGCAGGTATATGATTGAAAACTAATAAAATACGTGTAAGTTGTTGACTGATGTAGGTACTAATAGCATCTGACTTTTAGCACTGGCCTTGATTGCACAGGAGATGGAGCAGTCATTACAATTGAAAACATTTAATAAATCATTGTCAATTTATATAACATTTCAAGCCCATTCTTTATTGATAGCCTCCACATTTATATGGTTAAGTCATTGTTGCTGTGTTTCTTATCTATGACCACATTATTTTTATATGCTTTCATTTGTGAATTCTTAAGATGTTGTAGAAGGTTCATTCCTATACCCCGTTACAGATTCACTCCCTCTAGCTGCCTTTTCTAGCACCAATATGCTTAAAAAAATAAAATGCACAAACAACAAGCAGTGACAGCGGCCAAATCCTCAAATGTCCAGATTAGTAACTGTAGCATGCTAAAGAAAGGTGCATGTAAATAGCTGGAGATGGTATATGGTCCAGAGTCCAGCATAAAATAAATTCCTTTCTGAGCATTCCCTCCATTCCCCTAACCCAAATACATGCATTAGAAAGTAGCAAAACCCTTTAGAAACTCCTCTTAGCCAACTGCAAACTTATCTGTTGCCACAAGTGCAAAGGGGTAGGATGTGAACCTGTATGTCACAAATCTCTTTAGCCACTTCAGTTGGTGACAGAACACAAAATGAGAAATTCCTACGTATACACATCAGTCTGTCTCCACTTTTTATAAAACTGGAATAAAATGGGAAAGTGCCATCTTTATTTATCCTAATTGAATTTTAAATGTCCTTTTGACACAAAAAGGTATATACATGACACAGCTACACAACCTTTTTTCAACTGGACAACAAGTGTCAAAACCCCGTGGATGTATAGGGTAAAACAAGATTGGTCAGGAAAAGAGAATTGTTCCTATAACTGGTACTCTGACACAATGTCCTATTGCCATTTAAAAAAAAAAAAAAAAAAAAAAAAAAAAAAGGTCCATTATCAGTTTATTCAAGTTTGTTTCATGTTGTTCTAATCCTTTTGGATAAAAAAAAAATTCAGACTTTCGTAATTTGTGTATGCTGATCTTCATCAAAAGGTTCATTCTCTGGATCAGAGTCAGTGGTGTCAGAATATCTATAATGATCAGGTTCATTGTCACTAACATCTGGTGTAACAGAAGTTGAACTGCTAGCCTCTGGATTTGATGGCTCCTCTACTGTTTTTGTGAAGTACAGCTTCACCTAAAGAAAGAAAAAGAAAAAGTTTAAATGGAAAATCCATAAATCTCACTAATCTTAAATTACTTGGCAAAAATTTTTTAACAGATTCATTTTTAAGTACTATAACAAACATGATCTTTAAAAGCCTTTTAAATGACTCCCAAGATTTCCTACAATTTCTTGTTATAAACTGAAAAGATAAACTGATGTTAATATACATTTTTCCCTTTCCCAAAGTTTATTTTTTATTAAAGTAACATTACATTGTAACATTGTATGTTTCAGGTGTGCATCACTGAATATCGGTGTGTATATAATACATTATACTCACCATTAAAAGTCTAATTCTATCCTTCACTATAATTTACCTACCCATCTTTTCCCTTCCCTTCAGGTAACCACTAGTAAGACCACTAATTGGTCTTAAAGTTCAAATGATATACTATTTTTAAATAAGGATAACCTGTAAGAATTATATAATTCTACAACAGTTAATGCACCGAGATTATTGTTCATGTATTTTCGATCACGAAATTCAATTCACAAATAGTTTAGTTTCAAAAAAATATTTCATGTACTATCTGAAATTCAATGTATTTTCTGATACAAAGAATACTATAGGGCCTCCTCCAGTGGCGCAGTGGTTGAGACACTAGTGTCTTCACATTTGGATGGTGTGCTTTAGTCAAAATGATTTCTTACTTATCACTTTTTAAATATACCAACCTCATTCTAGTTTAAGAGTTTTTGTACCTGCTGTTCCCTCTTTGCCCCAATAATAGTACAGATCACTCATTTCATTTATGACTCTGACTACATGTCACCTGCTTGGAGAAGCCTTCTATAACTATACAGTTAAAACACACCAAGATCATTCTCTGTTCCATCTCTGCTTTATTTTTTCATAGCATTACCATTTATTTGTTTACTGACAACTGAAAGCTTAATTACAAATATAAAACCTCTACATACTGCAGGGGAGGAGGGAGGGGGGTGAGAGGGAGGGAGGGAGGGGCACAGGGGACTGTGGTGATGGTGCACAGGTGCCTTGGGAAGGAAATTCTATGAGAACTCAACCAGAGGGGGTGGGGGGAAGCAAATAGTGTTTAAAAAAAAATAAAAAAATTAAAAGAAAAAAAAGAAAGAAATCTTTAAAAAAATTAAAAATTAAAAAATATAAAACCTCTTATAATATTAAAATAGAAAATAATAAAACTAGGGGAAGTCACACTTTAAAAGTTAATGACTAAGGAAAATGCGGACATAAAAGTAAATGGAAACCTATGGATTCTAAGACTCTTCTAACCATTTAAAAGAACTGTAAGATTTAAAGGCACTTAACAATAGGCCTATTTTCATTTAAAACATGTAGCCCCCCCCTTCTAAAAAATTATTACTAGCAATATTCTTAGAAGCTATGATTACATATGTTACATGTTATAAAAATGGAAGGAAGCCCAAAAAAGTATGAGAGATTTAAGAGCGAGGAAGGACAGGGACAGTAAAAAGGAGGGGGGAAAATCAAGTAGAATTAAAAATGTAAAAGGGAGGGCCTCCCCGGTGGCGCAGCGGTTGAGCGCTGGGTTGCGAAGCTGCCCGCGGCCTCTGCGGCGCCGGTTCGATCCCCGGCTGCTCCCCGGCCACCAGAGGAGGGTCCCACATGGCGCGCAGACCTCTCCTGCCGCCCGCTGCTCCCCTCAGCAGTGTACTTCGGTCCTTCTGCCTGCTCTGCTCCCCGCTCTGGCTCTGGTGAATTCTCTCACCCTCCCGCGCTTCTGACTGTACCCAGTGCATGTATAAACAAAAAAACAAACAAACAAACCAGCAAACAAATAAAATAAAAGCATGCCTCTATAAAAAAAAAAAAAAAAAAAAAAAAAAAAATGTAAAAGGGAATTTTAAAAAGGCAAAAAAAAAAAAAAAAAATAGGTGTTTACAAGTTAGATTTTTTTAACCTGGAGAATTTCTGTCATCTCATAAATTGAATAGCAATACATACCCAGATCAGATACAGATAAAAGTAAAACAAGACAAATAATTTCAAGACATATTAACTGAGGAAGGGCATACTTTTATAAAGAGAGTAACAGGTAAGATGATCAGAGACAGCCTTTCAAAGCAGATGAGACAGAAGTTAAAGCTAGACTAAAGGAAAATGTGTTAAGAGGTATAGGGAAAAGAGAAAAATGGGAAAGACTAGAGACAGAAAAACATCAATCTGAAGAAATAAAAAGAGACTATGGATCAAACTCAGGGAGCAGGGAAGAGAATGTTGGCTAGAGTTGTGCTAAATTGTGAAGATCCATGTAGTTCGTATCAAAAAAAAAAAACACAAAACAAAACAGTTTCTTAAAAGTGTAAACAGGAGTGACACAATCAAATCTATTTTTAAGACTGCTCTGCCAGGGTGAGAACAAACTGGACAAACTGGAGAGGGACAAGAGTAGAGCAGTAAGAACATTCCATATGAATCACTCCCAAATGACTGCATTCCCTTCCACTTTTTTCTCCCCCCATTCCTATTTCATATTCACTTATTCCTCCCCAACCTCTGCCCAAATTTCATCAAACAACAAAAAATAGGGTAATAAAAACACAGCTGTTTTGGACTCTGTGTGTATCCTAGACTTTATTAGAAACTCTCAAATTACTGATAACATAAATACTCCTTCCAAAATAATTTAATATTTAGTCAAGCAAGTCTGTCACTAGCTATACAGTCAGAATAAAACATATACACCGTAATTTCTCAAAACATTTTAAACTGACCTTAAAATTTGGAGAAAAGTATCGGTTGGCCTTGTCTTTATTTGCTTTGTCAAGATCATTTTTTGTTAAAGTAAGTACTAGGTATTCCTTGTCATTATCGGCACGTTCTATACTGCAAATACTATCAATTTCTTGATCACATAGACTTCCATTTTCTACTTTTTCTGAGGTTTCCTCTGGTCCTGGTATGAAGAATGTATTTACCCAAAAGTGAAACATTTTGTCCTTAAAAAAAAAAAAAAAAAAATTAATTAAAATTTTTTGTAAAAAAAAGAAAATCTCATTTACCTTCAACATTTGCCCTAAGAAGTCAAAAAGAATGTCATGCGTTTCATATTTTGAATAGCCACACAAAGACTAACACTTGGCAATCTATGGGTTCTCTGCTGCCTCTCATTCACGTGATTTTTCCTTTATTCAAATTTTACACCAAAGAAGTAATTCCATAGTTCTAAGATAAGTTATTTTTGTTTCAAAACCTTAAGATATCTCCTAGCTAGTCTAGAATTAGCTTTAAAAAAAACCTTTTGAATTCATGTGTTTTAAAAATTCAGATATAGATTTAATTTTCTCTACTTCAACAAGCTATTGATTACAAAATTTACATTAACAAAATATCAACTTCCTTTTGAAAGGTCAACTTCCTGATGAAGCAAGATACATATTATTTTTACTTCTACAGCAATACAAACCATTAAGTAGCTCTAGTTTCTTGCATAGTAACGCATGTTTGAAAACTTTCATAATAAATATGGGGGGGTGGCAGTTCTGACCTTTCTTCTGTTATAAAATGCCCATTTTTAAAAAAAAATCATTTCCTACTAATATTATGAGGTCTTGTTAATCAAAAACAGTATCAGAAGTTCATCCCTTTAAACCTTATCTAGCCAACATAGAAAATGTTCTTTTTCTTCTCGTAATTACTGGAATTTAGTCTTTTTGGATCATTTAGCAATTAATGATGTACACAGTCTTGTGACATCTTATCTGGCACCTTAAATTGCTATTTAAATCTTTTATTCTAATTTATTTTCAAGTTTTGTTTTCTTCTGAGAAAGATGGTAAGACCTTTAAAGGATCCTATGTTTTAAATTTCTTTGTACCTTGTACCTAGCTGGCAAAGCAGTCTCACATATAAATATTTTAAAAATATTTGTGAATTTCAATTATTTTAGCAAAGTGGTTGACCTAGTAACTATATACATCTTTTATTTAGTCAGAGGACACTAAGCTAGTAATAAATTCCCAAAGCCATAAATTCCATATATGTACTGACTGTATCATAACCGCTTTTGTTAAAATCCCAGCAAAAACTTGTAACGACCAGGAAAAAACACATAAAATGAAAATATATGTACCGTAATTAAAGATAAATATTTAATATTCAATTGTGCTAATGTAATGTACAGATGATAAGTACTAAAATAAGAATACATTCCTAAAAGCATAGGGAAATAGTGATACAGATATCGATTTTTAAAAGCAAACTAAAATATTTTATGTGTACCAATCTTACAATGAATAAAAGAAAAAAATCTTAATACGCTAACTTTAAAACATTTGCTAACCCTTATTGAATTATTATATATTTTTTCAACATTATTGAGATATATTTAACTTTCAGTTATACAGGAGAGGTAGGAAATGGGATTTTGGTTAAAATAAAAATCAGCTTAACATGTTGTGATTTTCCAACTACTTGTATTCTGGTTAATGGAAATTATATTTCTTCTGGTAAGTCAAAGTAGAGTATGATTTTTTGTAAATGAAACTTTTTAAAAAGTTAAAAATCAGGAAAACAAAATCCCATCAGAATGTCCAAAGATTGGTAATATACTACCTAGTATGTTTAATAAAGTAGTGCAAATATACAAAGCTCAGGTTTTTGTTACTACCTAAAAATTTTGATAGTAGGCACACCCTAAATGTTCACACTTAATATTTCAAACCAAGATAGTTTGTTTAAAATGAGCTCTTGCATTATCTAAGTATAGTGCAATAAGATGTAAACCTCACTAACTTTCTAAACCTGAATATTTAAATTATACCACATTTTCAGTCTTTATTACTTCCTCTTCAAACCTATTTCTCTTATAACTAAAACTCTAAACTCAGTAAATTGAGGAAGCAAAATATAAAATTCCCAGGCTCAAGATATAAACCCAAAATGGGGGAAAAGTGATCTGAGTCATTAATAAGACCACAAAACAGGTATTACTTATACATATAGACCAAATTTTTTTTCAACTCATGGTCCCATGCTAACTTCCTGTTGTCTAATTAATCACCCTTTCTTAGCAGATTATAATTAACTGAATGGGATATGTATGGAATTTACAATATTTGCACAAAATTTCTTTCATAACCCAAGTTAAGGGAAACTAATTTCAAACTATAATGCCATATGGTCTTTTACTTGTAATAAAATTATTTAGCATTATAATGGTTCAAGGGGGTGGCGCAAGGGTTAAGCACCGCACTACAAAGCAATCCACACTACTAAGCAATCAGCAATCCAGCAGCCAGCCGCTGCAGCACCTCTCCTTCCTGTCTCACCCACTGCTCCCCTCAGCAGTGTATTTCAGTCAGTCTGCCTGTTCTGTACCCAACTCTGTCTCTGGTGAATCCTCTCACCTCCTGCATCCGGGCCTGTACCCCAGCTCTTGTATGCATAAATAAATAAATCTTAAAAAAAAAAAAAAAAACCATTATAATGGTTCGTCAATGCCACAGTAAGCAAAGCACGTGCAGGTCTAATAGAAAACCAATTATAATTCATTAGATGTTAGTGATAAAAAATATATTTATCTTTTAATCTCTCCTTACAAACTGATTTCTGCCTAGCCAAAGGATTTAAGCAAAAGATCTGAGGTTATGCCTCATGGTAAGGCAATTTTGGATATTTTTCCCAATAAAAGTAAAGTGCAAACCTTTTTTAGCATCTTGTTCTGTTTGTGGAAGAACTCTACTTTGATGTCACCACACACAGGCAAAGGCTGAGGAAATTCAAAATACATGAACTTGTCTTCCCGTCGTGTGGGTCCTGAATTGGAGGAATATATCTTCACCTTTAGCTGGCAGACCACAAACTGGGGATCTGCGTGGTTAAATACATACTAGTATCATTTTACATGAAATGCCTTTAACTGTAAAATTGTCAAAATCTGTTTTTATGATTAACATTACAATACACAGAAAATAGCAATTCTGCTTCTGTAACCCTGATGTAAAATAAACTGCAAGAACTGGGTAAAAAATATATATAACCAACCTATATATAACTACTGTATGTAGTACTAGAAAGTTAAAATTATGGCATATAATACTGTATGTAGTAGTAGAAGGTTGTAATACTGGTAAAGTCAATTCTATTTCATAAACAGTTTAAATTCCAATATTAGATTTCTAGCAGAACAGTAACATCAAAAAATTAACTTTATTAAAATTATGCTAAAAATCCCAGCAGTCATGCATCACTTAACAATGGGAATATTCTGAGAAATACATCATTAGACAATTTTGTTGTTATGTGAATGTCACAGAATGTACTCACAAACCCAGATGGTACAGCCTACTACACACCTAGGATTTTATACACTTAGGGACCATGAAGAACAAATTGAACACAAGGAAATATGAAAAACAGTAAACAATCTGAGGTGTGAAGCTGTTGCTAGAATAAAACACCAGGTAATAGGAATTCTGGGACCATCATCGTCTATGGAGTCCAATGTTGACCAAAATGCCAATATTGTGACATGTGACTACATACACTACCTTAAGAATAAAAAAGTTAAAATAACTTCTTGGCACATTTTATGAACTACAAATAAAGCAACTTTTCAAACATATTTGCTATGTATTATAAAGTATTGTGTAACAAAATACAAATCATTACATGCTCACAACAGAAAATATAATTTATAATTACATGATAATAAATTCCATAAACACAAGTCTCAATATTTATAAAAATATTAAACATCATTCATTTTACATATTATTCACATTTTACTTTCAAAGGTGTACAAAGGCATCATCATGATAAACAGAATAAAGATTTGAGATGTCTGCAAAGAAATGCAACAGACATCAAGTGAAAATTGTAGCACATATTATCTCCTTCCAAAAGACACTCCCTGTTTTAACAACTATTTTAGCTTTGACTCACATATATTTTAAAATAAATGGAAAAATATGACTTCTCAAAAATGTATCCTTCTTTTATATTAACAATTCAAACTCTAAGTATAGAAAGGGAAGAATTATGTTTTATTTTAAAAATCTATTTCTAAACACATTCATACTTTACATTAATGATAGAAATTAGGGACATGAATGTTAAGATGCTATGACTTTGAAAATCAAAGTTACATGAATAATATGTACATTTGTAGTGTACTAATGAGTTAAAAAGCAAGAGTTCCTTAAAAAGACAGTAATTAACTTTAGAAGTTAGAACATGAGTCTTGAAGGAAGAAGCATGCCAAGACGATCAAGAAAACAAAAATATAAGCTTGCATAAAGTGCATGAGAAATATGTAACAGCCGTAAAATCCTCACCACCAAAATCATCATATTTAAAGATGGGGGGCGGGGGGAAAGCATCACATTATCAATGTGACAAAAACAAAAAATTTAAAAAACTAAAAACGAGGCCAAAAGTTTCTCCAAGCTAGGTGAACTTCCAGTTTAATAAACATCTAATGACTCCTCTATGCAGTATATATGTAGTATCAACAACCACCTGACAAGTAATAGGTTTGATAAAAGCATGTAGGATTATTCTACTGTAGATTTGTGAGACATTTATGATGAGAAAAGGGCACCAAAAATAGGGAAACAGTATATTAACATTCTGTTGATAAATTTCACTTACTTGACTAAGATTCAAAGTACAATGAGACATTTGATAAGGCTTAAGTGGTAGTGAACATTTTACTAGGGAGTCTACCATGAAAAAAGCAAACAAACAAGGCATAATTTCAAAGCTGTGATAAAAATCAGTCACGATGAAAATGTCTTGTAATCTTATTAACCCAAACTCCACTAATTCAGAATCTTATAATTCTGACCTTAGACTTTAAAAAGAAAATTAACTGCTTACGCCATATTCCAATTAAACTACACCTAAATATGTATCTTAAGGAATTTTAGAATATAAACAACTCATAAACTAATCAAAATCAGTGTTATTAGAATCCTGCCCAGAAACTAAGCTAGAGTTTTAATAAACCTTAGAAAAAGATTTTATTAAGTCACTAAAGAAAATAATTGTTCATAATATGAACTTCACATTTTAGGTAGCTGAGACCTAACTTTTCAGAAGTCCATTAGTATTGTTTTGATTACTTATGACATAATTCTGATATATTTCCTGTGATACAATTATGTTCTAAAACAATGACAAAATCCACACATAATAAATAAAATTCAGATTAAATTTTCTTGGACATACGCATATTGATATAGTCTTGACCATCTTTTATTGACATTTTTAAATAGTATAACAGGTAATACTATATATTATAGACTGTAGAACATATGTTTGACATGAAGAATTCTTTTTCCTTTACTTAGAATTATTAATACACTAATCAAATAAAAAATAATGACTGTTAAGCTCTAACACCTTTGCAGAAGTTGTCACCACTAATTTTTTTTTCTTCACTGATTTCTCTTTCAACCCAACTGCTGCCCTAGAAATTCCTCACCTTCTGCTGTCCCTGAGTTTCCCTAGCCCCACACCCTATTTACAACTGCCATTTCTGTCCAACGCTTCACAAAATATTCATTTTAATTTGCACCTTAGAGAGTACTTTTAAGTACCCATTGGATCTCTTCATATGAATAGCTCACCTTTACTTGATTTAAAACATGTTAAAACCAAAAATATCAACATTTATTTTACCAAATCTGATTTACTTTTCTTTCTTCTTGCCTCTCTTGTGAATTACTCACCTGACCAGAATAAAAACTTTGACAAAATATTTAAATATAAATGACAAAGAAATACTAATCAAATCCCACTTGAGTGCCCTAACACATCCGACTTACAGAAATTAAAGCAAATCACATAACTGGTTTCCTTTCCATCATTTTTCTTCCTCTTGCAAATACCACTTCCCGTGTAATTGTACTTTAAAAACACTGCTTAAACCTCCAGTATTACCAATGACAATGTAATACTTATCAAGTATGATATACCCACATTCAGAGTCCTCTTAAACAGCCAGCCACACATTCCTTTATTATTCTATTTGCTGCCTCTATTTTTCTTGTCCTATTACCTTCAGTTTTATTCCTATTGCCTATTCCTTCAGTTTTAATGCCAATCTAAACTATATGCTTTTTCAATATTCAGTAAAGAGAGGGATTGAGCAACTCCCTGAAACTTTTTCTGAATGTACCAATTATTATTTATACATACAACCTTTGACTTAATTACACTAGTTATAATAGTTTCACTACATATGTTACATCACAGTACATAGACAACTAGAAAATTAATAAAGATTAAAAGAGTTTCAGTAATCAATAACTTGAGAAGTTTAAATGCAATATTAAGAAGAAAAAAATACACTTAAATACAGCCAGGCAGGACAGAACTGTAAGAAATTTTTGCTAGAGATGTCAATGTGATAAAAATTATACTAGACATGATTATCGGACTAAGTGTTTTCTCTACCTTATTATCTCCCTGATATTTTATACCTTTCTTTCTTTCACAGATATCTATACTACAGGAAGAGCATGTATTTTTTCTTTCTTTCTCCTCCTATGAATCTAAGTTCCTGTGTTTATCATCTCTAACAGCCCAGTGCCTTCCATGCAGCAGTTTTTAAAATTACAATGAGATGACAGAAACACCAACGACACTCTTAGAAGTCTTTAACATGCTATATTAATAAATCTGTAGTCTTTCATAAAGTTGCCTTGTTCTAAGAATACATGGAAGAGCTGATGAAGGTGATCATAACCTATCTGTCTAAGGTGAACATTTTTAAAACACAAAAACTAAAACCACTAACAAATTGTAAAGTATTACTGATATATCACTAGAGGCATTAAATATTAAAGTAATACCTCATCTATAAACTACAAAATATAAATAAATAAAACATACTTAAGCATGAAAACATGACTGACCACTTCCAAGGTAAAAACTAATTTAAACTATCTCTGCTATAGAAAAAAGCAGCAATAGTCCAGTCTTTTACAGGACTGGAAATAATTCTCAGTTATCTTCCCTTGAATAACCAGGTATTAAGGTTCCTATCTGTCTAGTCAAGAACTCTGGCCAACTATAACAAAGAAATAGAGTACAATTAGGGTGAGTGAGACAGGCTTACAGAGGTTAGTGTAAGAGAAGTAAACAGAGGCAGACATCAAAGACATGATCTCTACTTAGCACTTATCTAGAAAGTTTCAGCTATCAAAATATCTTCATTTTATTGACGAGCAAACACAAAGAGAGGTACATGATGTGCCCAAGGATATACTGTACATTAATGAAAAATCTAAGACTAAAACTTGGATCTAACTCCAGGTTTTTTCTAACAACCCACACCTTGATACAACCCTATTCACTCAAAACACTTCAGCTTGTCACCATGTCTTACCATTTTATCTTTTTCTTTTTATAGTGCACGTCACATTACTATCACTAGCTTGGTCTTCTTAAAATATTAAGGAATTGATCTCTGCCCCAGAGTCAGTAAACTGATAAATCCCTCTCATGCTGGATCACTGAGAGGACAGGTGTTTTAGTCATCTGATCAGAATTTAGGCTGCATTTGGTAATTACAGCACAGAATATTCTTTGATAAATATAATTGGGCTCCAAAGACATTTAAAACCATGACCTTCTTAGCCCAATGCACTAAACAACTGAGCTAGTTAATTAGTTTGGATACTTCAGAAATATATATTCCCGCATACATTTTAAGTGTGGTAAGTTTCTTTCTAGATTTTTATATAAACTTTTTTACATGTTAAGAAAAGTATTCCAATATACGGATGAGAATTTAGAGCACTTACTGCAAGTTCCGCCACTGAACATTGGAATAGTTTCAAACATCATCTTGTGAAACAACAGTGCCACTGGTCTATAATCCAGATGATTCTTTAACAGGTAGCTATAATAATACACATAGCGCCTCTGACTGGGAATAGTTACTCCCTGGTAGACAGAAAAAAAAAAAAAAAAAAAAAAGAAAAGAAAAGCTGAATTCAAAAGAAAAGTTCCATTACAGTTATCTCACTAAATTGTTATGGTAACTGGGTTGTAACCGCTGAATAACACATGTACATTAGAAATATGACCTAAGTGATTAATATTTAAATCTAACTCAGTAACAGTAAATCAGAGCAACATGAATGCAAAAAAATAATCAGAATAACTATTCTCCCTTAAAATTATGAAAGCCCCCATCTATTCAATGGTCACAACAATGGTCTGACCCATGAATCCAATAAGCAAAGGCCAATACATATCCAAAAGCCTCTTTACTGTAGCTGTACTTTTTACTGACTATGTTCCCCACAAGGATTTATGGACTTTTATTAAACACATAACTCCTTACAAACCTGGTTACTTATTTTCCAGGCAAAAACATTATCAGAATTGGCAAACTACACATAAGCATACTGCCTTTAAGAGGCAGAAATAGCAATAGTAAAAAAGTGAAGCTGCCAATAAAACAGAATCGTGCCACTGACATAAATGCAAGCAATAATCTTTAACTGAGGTAATTACAGAGGTCCCCGAGCTATATATACCTCTTTGTTAAGAAATCAGGGAAATACGTTTCTGAAAATGTAAGTATGATAAATGCTAAAAACATATAATTCACATGGTATTTGAAAGGGGATCCTGACTTATCTAAAGAAAAAAATCTAATGTGTGCAGCAATGTAATCACTGAAGTTCCTTAGTAAAGGAGGTATTCGAGCACTTGTTTAAGATTTCTTAATTACATAATGTGACTTCAGAAAAATTCAAGCATTTAACTTCAAAGCATAAGACAAATAATAACATGAAAAAGTTTTAAGTATGCTCAAGAAAAAAAGAATTCGTAATACTTCTCTAAGTTACTATTGGCTTCTAAATCTCCCAAAGTGTTAAAAGCTCTGGACACAAATACCTTTCCTCTCTCTACTGAAAAGATGAACAGCAGGTATGTACGTATTCACTGTAGTATTCGCAGTAATTTTTTAAGTTAGCATGACTATTACAATTAAAATATAACAAATGTCAAAAATAAAGGAAAGTCATTTCAAATTAAGACAAATGATTTAAGTTTTTGATCATAGTGAAAAGCCCATATAATTTGTGGTCAGTAGACTTGATTTAAATGCTGACAGTCAAAATACAAATACAATAATATGTACCCACCTTCTTCACAATATTCTCCTGAATCTCAAACACCAAATGCAATTACACAAAAGCATGCTAACATTACAAAATGTTACACAAATACTAATTAACAGTTTCTGAAATTTTACCTATATTTAAATTATAAAAATAAATTGGGAGAGTTAGAATTTTAGTTCTCTGTATTTTTATTAAAGATCAGCAATAGAGAATAGAACAGTATTATCTGAAGAGTAGCTACAAAAGTCAATACTAAAAATTATTAAGTTTAAAAAGTATTTATACTTAAAATGAGTTTTTATACCAATTACTTAATGCCACTTCAGCCAACAATTTGCCATTCATATTCATCAAAATAAAATGCAGAATTGCAAAAGAGATTGAGAGATATGGCAGATGGAAGATGGGGGTGGAAAGAAATCTTTTGAACTATGTGAATGTTTTATCTAGTCAAAAATTAAACAATTTTTTTTTCATTTTAAATAACTACAAGTCTATAAATAGACAAGTTGTCAAATAATTTGTTGGGGTTCAGAATGATGATGATATTTTCCTCCTTATCTCCACTCGTGATATAAGTTTGTATGTCATTACAAAAAGTTTTTCAAAGTTTTACTTTATCCCAAGTAGCAAAGATTAATAGCATTTTCTCTAGTTCGGGTGTATACATACCCAATTAATCTTTACGAGAAAGGGCTAAGCACATTGCGTAGAGAATGTCTGGATCTACTAGTCTGTCAACACTGGATGAGTAATTTATGTACCAACATGATTTGAACCAAAATTACACAATTCCAAGAAAAGCACTAAAAACAATTGCAAACTTAATCATCTTAATATCAAATTATATAAAATTAGGCTTCTGTATTTTGACTTAGAAATTCTTGTTTATCTGTTAAATTACAGCACCTCAAATTCACTGTGTCCAGATTAACAGAAACGAAAAAATTGGAAGGCACAAATGAATATGGACTATAAATCTTAATATGTCCTCTTCATTCTATTCTTGTCTCTCATGCACAATTACTGAAATTTATTTAACAATATAGTGAATCATGCTATAAACCAGGATTTGAAATAAAATTGTTAAAATTGCAATAAATTGACAATGCAATTTACAACATTTCAAATATATTTCCTGAATGCATATACCAAAAACAGTGATTTATGGGAATGTTTAACTATAGTATTTTGAATATGAAGATTTAATTTAAAATACATATCTAAAAAAATGAACATTTTATTCATCTTCAAGATTACTTTATATATATGAAAAAGGGCTGAACTTTAAAGCTGTTGGAAATTTTTTAAATTACGTTTTTTAAATTTCCATTCCTCATTTAAATTAAGACTAATAAAATTAGTTTTATTCTCTAACCAAGAACTTTTAAGCAAAACTGGTCTATAACTGTATCACAAAGGTACCTTTTTACTCTCTGCCACTAATGATTTCCCTTTTCCACTAATTGTGAAGAAAAATGCTTATACTCTTAACCTTTTTCCCTTAAATATAACTTTCAAAACATTCTAATTTTAGCTACACTTAGCATTCTTCAGGCCAATTTAGCACCATTCCTGGACATCATCTCAAAAGGCAACCATTACTCAAGTTCACAGACTAGGATATCTGGTGTACCTTCCACTATATTTCTTTCAATTCCCTTTTCCACTAACAATACTCAGTCTTCACCTATTCCAAATCTCTATCACTCAGTAACTTTCTTCTGGTATGCACTTATAAGCTCCTGACCACAATGACTTCAGCACTTTGTTCACACTACCTCTCCCTATTTTATACCAGATTTCATCCTTCAATAAATTCTACCCTAATTTTACTGGGAACCAGTATGGGCACTCACAAAATTTTCTATTCTCATCTTAAAATCTTTTCACTCCTGATATTTTATAAAATATCTTCTTCAAGTTTACCTAGGTTTTATTTTGGTTCTATTAATTATCACTTCTCTGACATTCGTCTTTTATTCTCTCCACCTACATCCTCCTAATAAGCAGCTCAGGTAACCCTATCCCTTATCCAAAATAAGCTAACAACTCAAAGACCAAAAACCTAAACTCTCCCCATATCTCTCAAAAATCTACCCTCTCCTTCTATATAAGAGCAAATTCTAAAGGAGAAGCCTCTACTCTTGAACAACATGGAAATCTATTACTATGAGGCTGATTTGTTAATGGTCATTAGTGCTTTCTTAACAACCAAATTTCTTACTGTTTTCCTAATCCCGTCCTGACTCATTTTTCTTTTTTTGGTTCCATGCCAAAAATCCCTTACTTCTATCATAGGGCACTCTGTAAAGGTTTTCTTGTGTCTTTACTGGATCTTTCTCCTTTTCTTGTCCTTAAATGTCGCTGTATCTCAAAATATTTGGTCTTGGCTATCTCTTCTTTAGTTCAGACCTATCTATTACAGTTGTTTAATTATAAATATTAAACATTAATGCTCAATATGACTATATACCTATATTCCATTTCAAAATTTCCAATTCTTGGCAACATTTCTATCTGGTAATCTCAGGAGCACTTAACACACAACATACCCCAACACTGAAGCTTTTATATATTTTTTGCTTATGCCAACCCTGTTATTTTTAATCAATGATATTCACTATTTTTCTCCAGTATGTTAACCTGAAAGCTCTTCTAATACCATCACTGCTTAATCAACTCTTACTATGTTCCTTCGCATTGTTCTAAATGCTTTCATAAATAGTTTAATACACATATAATGAGTATCACTGGTAATGCCACTTTAATGATGAAGTGAAATCATACATCTTAAGAGTAATGGAACTGGATTTCACCCTGGCAGTCCAGCTTCATAGTTTGTATTCAACTCACTATGCTACAGTCATTATCTACCTACTATAGTGAAAAACAATAGACAGCAGCAATATACACAGGATTACTAAAGAGAAAAATAAGGGAACTGCAGGACTATAGCAAAGGTCCAAGTAGCAGAGTGAAGGCAGAGATTGGTATTGTCAGTCAACATATCAACTACATAGCATTTGTGTGCATACACGTTATGCACATGCATATGTACACATGAACACACATGTGCATGCACACATACTGTGCCAGAGGTTAACCTCAAGTAGAATACTCATATTAGATTTCTACATGTCTATACAGATGTCAAAACCCTTATTTTTACACTGTAATACCTCCCAAAATACCATTTCTGGTTTTCTGTGGTCATTCTGGTTCGGTCAACTCCTGCCAATTTTTTGTTGTTATTTTAATTTATTTTTTACATCATTGTTCATTTTCAGACAATACTTGCTTCCCCCCACCTACACTCCTGCAATTTTTAAATAGCCAATTGGTATCCATCTTTATCTGTTCTCCAATTTATTAAGTTTTATTAAAGAATGAAATTAATCACATTATCAATTAATTCAAAATGTTAAATGGTTTCTCAGAGCATAGCCACAAAAGAACAAATTCATCACCCAAACAACATACAAAACAGTCCAATTCTTTTTTTACTCTTACCTCTTAAAATTCCCTTGCATAAACACTAACTTTTGGCCAAACTAAAGCATTTCATTTCCCCTATACTGTACTTTCTGCTTTTTTAAATATGCTCTCTTTAATACACCTGGCAAGTTTCATATATTTCCTAACACCTGGACTAATTTAGATAACAAGTACTTGATGTTTCAAAGTTTGATCGCGGTCACATAATGCATTTCAGATGAGGTATTTCTTGAAGGCACTTATACATTTCATTCTTGAATGATTACTAAGATTTCATATTGAAACATTTATGTGAACATTGTAATTTAA